GACTCTGTAAACTGCTTAGAGAGGGCTGAAAGCCCTATAAAGCGGTATATAAGTCTAACTGCGATTGCTATTGCTATTTCCAGAGTTCAAGTTTCCGGTTCAAAACTCAGTAAATGTATAACAAACTAGAAGGGATAGATGGGCCGCCAAGGAGGTCTTATAGTCTGACCCTGTTTCATGTTATGTCCAAATCTCGCTTTATGTCCTGCCTTAGTTTGGTAGTACTACCGTATACTTTCAATGCGTCGTTACTTTCCATGAATAAATAGGCTGTTAATTGGGGGGGGGGGGGGATAATTCCCCTTCTAACTAAGAAAAGGCTTTTGTAGGAGTTAGTGGGGGGGGGGGGAGAGTTGGAGCCCGTAGGCTTGCCAATGAACAGGAAGGGCCGCGATATGAAACTCGCAATTTTTGAGGACGCTCCTTTCCATGAGTCAAACCATCCCATTCCCCTTTCCAAGACAACTTGGGAGACCGTCCAATTCCTGCAGGCAGGAACTCCAAAAGCGCGCGAGGACCTGCCAGCCACTGCCTCGCCTCGCCATTGGCTAGAAGGGCTGGGCGGACTCCCCGCATTCATGAGCTCTCCGGGCGTGGGAAGACAAGGGGGCCTATGAGGGGGGCGGCTCCGGGTGGAATGTGGGGGCGGGGCCGGGCGCCAGGCGCCAAGAATTACGGATCCCTGAGTTCTTTCTTCGGCCGGCTCGCTGTCGAGTGAGCAGCAACAGCGGCACGGGCTCCCCTCTCGAAGCATCCGCAGCTCCGCGCCTCCGCTTGCCGCAAGTCCGCCTCTCCGCCCGCCAGCACTTCAGACGGCTCCAGTGAGTGGACGCATCTCTTCGCCCCCTCGTTCCTTCTCCACCCCTTCTTTCCCCCCATACACACGCGCGTGCGCGCGCGCGGACAGACTCCACTCGGCGGGCGCCTTGCCTAGAACTGCCGGGCGAAGCGAAGTTTCCCTCCCCTCCACTTAATGAGGCTTCCCGCTGAGAGCTGGGAAGGGATTTTTAAAAAAGCAGCATTCCGTGGAAAGTATTTCTTTCCATGAGCACGTGGGGACAGTTTATTTAGGCACGGGAGGTGACGGGAGGAGAGCAAGGCAGTGGAAAGAGGGCGCTCTTGGGAAAAGCAGATTGCGTGGCACGGGAGGGGGGGGGTGAATGGAGAGCGAAAAAGACCGGGCGTTGCTCACCAAAAGGCTGAAAAGCGTGAATGGGGTTAAGGATAAGGTGTGAATCACTTGCTGGTCTCTGAACTTTCTCCTTTGTCGCGATCCTGGATGTCACCGCATGTCGTCTTGTGCCAGTAATACCCGCGTGGCTGGCAGATGGACAGCTGATGCAATTTCTCCTGTCAGCGACTCTTTCCGCCAGGGAAATACCGCTGTTGAATCTGGGCTTTTCTTATGCGGCGGGTGTAAAAGAAAATCGGAACCCCACCCCCAGGAAAAGCTGGCTAGCTAGCTTAGGATCCCATGCAAAAATCCCTTTGATTGCACTTTCTATTCTGCTGCGCTGTTCCAGAGTCCTATGAAGGGATTCTGTTGCCAGGTACTTGTTTCAAAGTCAGTTTAGAGGAGAAGTGAAATGTATGAGGCAGGCACGCTAGTCCCCATGAAGGGCATAAAATGGTAGGAATGTTAGCAACTCAACCACCACCCCTTGTTTACTTCTGCTTTGCCTGATCTATATACTGTGGGTGAGGTAAAGGACAGCTTGGGGTGATTTTGTCCTGTTCCAGAGATGAGTTGGTTCAAGCTGGTTGCAAGGTGTATTTATAGTTAAAACTTCATGACAGTGTGTGGTGTTTACGCAAAGACAGGAAAAAGACAGGAAATCATTCAGTTGTCTGATTAAAAACAAAAGCTGTGATGCCTCATGTAAGAATGAAGTAAAACACCAGGGCATTTCACTTCGCAATGGTTAAGTGTGAGTTGGAGAAAAAAGAGGCCAGAAATATTCTAAGCAAAGTTCAAAATTGCCTATCAAACTTATTTCATCCTTAAAGGTCATTTGAACTGCTTTAACTAGGGCTAAGTGATTGTATACATTGCTAAGAAGTGTATATCTGATCTGGGGAAAGCCTCTGGCTTTCTCTGGGCTCTCTTCCTCAGAGCAAGAACAGGATGCAGATAAACCCTTTTCCTTGTTAGAACTGGCTTTGCTGGAGGAGAGGAATTCTCCTCATTCTCTCTCTGAGGTACTAGGTCACTTGGTCTTTGGGAAGCTAGCCCAAACCAGTTTTTTTCTCTCTTCAAGCACAATCTTTCATACATACTTTAAATAAGAAAGAAATTAGTGAGCACAGGTGGTATCCTTCTTAAGGGTCAGATGGGAAATCCCAGTAAATTGTTCTAGATCTGTTTTACAATAATCAAGAGTGATTAAGCATGAGAGAGAAGTGGATCAGTGACTATACATTGGACATCTTGCATTCTTCCTGTAACAAAAATACATAATCTGTGTTTACCATCACAGCCTATAACTTTGGTTTTTGCTGTTTAAAACTCTTTGGAGGATCACACTTCCTGCTAGAACAGGGGTGTCAAACTCGATTTCATTGAGGGCTGTATCAGGGTTGTGTTTGACCTGGGGGGGCGTGCCAGGGAGCGTGGCTAGCTGGACGTCACTTATGTTGGGGCGCCTGTGTCAGCCCAAATGATCTGCCAGTGAAAACGGGTTCATGAGCTCCATTTCCAGATGCAGTGGCCTCCTGCAACCCTCTGCCAGCAAAAACAACTTGGGAGGGCCACACGTTTTCATTGGCAGAGGCACCATGGGCTGGTCCTTTGCTGTTTCCAGCACCCTATGGGCCGGATCTGGCCCCCGGGCCCTCAGTTTGACACCCCTGTGCTAGAACATAGATTATTTTTAAAAGCCTTCATGTCTTAATTCATGCATGGTTTATAAAAGTGGCTGACTTCACATAGCACACTTTTCCAAAACTAGCTAAACAAAAATTGCAATGCTTTCAATATATAGATATTCCTTATTCAGAAGAATTGAGCAAATAGTGCAGTGCCTTCAACACGCACACAGCTTATATTCACCTTCTTTGTATATGTGTAATTTTTTTACTTCCAAGTACTGTTTACAAGTCACGTCATTTAAGTTATGTTGGCCAATCATACTGAGTGGCATTTCAAGTCATATGGCAAAACAATGCTCTTTTGTTAAGGATTGCGTTACTTATGTTGACATTGCTTGGTCTGAACAAGGAACTCAGAGTAAAATCTAAAATCTGTTAAATTTGCTGTAAATCACAAAACTGAATAGCCAGTTTTCTTGAACACCTTGTTCAAGACGGTTCTCTCTATTCCAGAGTGCAGACCTCAGATTGATTTAAATTGGTGTGTGGGTGTGTGTTTTTGTGTTTAGGCCTGCCACATTTTCTACTGTGGGAAAATGGGAGGGGGGATTATATGGTGTATGAGTGAACACACACACACAAACATACACACATACAAACACACACACAAACACACACACACACACCAGATTTGGGTTTTCCCAGATGTGCCAATATGACATCCCTTATAAAATGGAACTTGGAGGAAACTCAAGCCTCAGGAGTCTTCTTTCGTTGGGGGTATTACTTGGAACCCTGACAGGGACATCTTAACAGTAATCTAACAGAATGATATATAGCGACTATCTTCCCTTAAATTCTCAGAACAGAACATACAGATGTTATGTAATTTCCCTACCAAGGTTGTACTATACTACACTACTTTTACACAGTGTATGTTCCATTCCCCCCAGTTGCACTGACAACCCAATGTAGGACAAAGCCTGTATTATGCATACATATTACTTACTGACATGAAGTAATATGCATACATATTACTTACTGACATCAGAGAGGTGTTCGGTTCCCTTTCATTGGATTTTTTAAATGTTAGATAGCGGACAGCTATTTGTCTTTGATGTTTTAATTTGGCTTCTGGCACTGAGAAAAGTATTGGCTTGTTTGGTGGCCTAAATAGACCATTGCATGTTCAATATAGTTTGATATAATTACTGGCCTCAAGACAGTCCTTTTCAAATATATTCTGTTGGCAACTATTCTGCTAGGAATGTGTTGCATTTGTTTATTTGTTTTGTTCTTCTGAAAGAATAACCACCTTAAACCATTACGGCAAAGCTGATTCTACATAAATATGCAAAAACAAAGAAAGCACACATTTGGATCTAGGAGCATTTTGATCTCAAACAATTATAAACCCATCGTGGTTGCTTTCTGGTTATAATGCAGCTTCTTAAAATTAAAAAAAAGCTTAATTCAGAATGTAATGAGTTCCTTGGTTTTGTTGGGATTTACCAAAAGCATTTCTTGAACAGCTCATGTAGTTGGAATCGTTTAGGCCCAAATTATCATATTTAATACATTACAAGTTTTATATCTCACAAAATGAAGTTATGTGATTGTGATATATACCAACATTTATTTTGCTTTATGGAAAGTCAAATCCATGCTATAACATAGTCTTTATTGATACATGGTTTGCTTGTTCAGTTGACTGGTATAAAAAACATGATTTCAGTGGGATTTCTAACACTTTGGTTATTTATTTATTTTACCCCTTGTATACTGACAGATGGGGGTTACACTTAGCCCAGTGAACCAAATTAATGAGCAGAACCTGCATTAATTTACTGTTGATGTTGCACTTTGTGTCTGCACACAAAGATGGTGCAGAACTAATCTGCTTAAAGTGAATGTTTATGCAGTATTTGTTTTTCCTTGGTGGCCTTTCAACATAATATTAGATGCTAGAGCTGGAGGGGACTCTGTGGATTGGTAAGAAATCAGGATGTGAAATCTGATGTCGATAATGTCTGTGGTTCTTTTTTAGATTTACAAACCACCACTGAGAGCAGTAATTTCACTATTAAGTTTTTTGATAGTCTTGTTGCAAATAGTTAAGGATGGCATTTTTTAAAAAAATAGGTAATCTTTATTTCTCACTGGGCTAGTTGGAATGAGTATTTCAAATCAACCCGCATTCTGTTTTGTATTGTACCTTAAATCTTTAGTAGAAAATGTGATATTGAACTGGTAGCTTTTAAAACATTCTTGCTTTGACAGCAGTGCCTTCTCTATCTCATAATGAGGGATCCCTTTTCCCATTGAGAATTATTTCACTTCTCTCTTATTTATGCGCTCTGTTTTTCTAGGGACATTTCTATGAATTTTGTATGGTTCTGTAGCAGTCTACTATAAATGACAGTTTCATAAATCCTTTTGGACATAGGAAACAAAATATTTTTGGACATTGGCTAACGTTTTAAATGCAGTTATATTGAACCATAAGATAACTACATTTTAGTTAATTTTTTAGGCTAAAACTAACTTAAAGTGAACTTGGTAATCTACAGTTTCTGTTGTTAAAGATGTTTGTGTCAGAAGCATCACACTTAAAACAAGACATACTATACAAAAGTTAAAAGTACAAGATTAAAATATGTACAAGTTAAACAAATCTTGCCCAGAAATTAACAACATTAATTGTGTTCTGTCATGCTGCCATGAGGTCCTCAAGTGTACACTGATCAGGACACATAGGACAAGTGTACACTCTACAAATACATTGTTGTCTGCCTGCCACCAGAATTGCAAAGGGCAGAAGAGAGCCCATTTGTTGAGGATGTCTCTGGATCTTGTTGTGCGATCTATTCAATGATATTTCCATACTTTCCAGCTTTCATCAGGATCAGTTGCCAGTTCCTCCATTGGTTCATCCAGTATTGGTTCTTCGTTGCTTTCCATAGGTTCACTCTGCTTTCAAATTCTTCAGCCTAAGGAAGTTTTCCTGGATTTT